AACGACACTTTGCCGCGTGTTGCACGCGGAATTACGGCTGGCGGGATAACTTTCCGTGGATTTCGCGAGGATCGTCCTGAAAGTCTTTGTCCTGTGTTACTATTTTCATTTCCACCGGAGAACGGCGTTCTCCCTTCTCGTCGGCGCGAATGCTCTCCCTCACTTTCCCCCCCCCCTCCCCTCGTTCTCTTTCTCTCTCTTTAAAAGTGGTCCGACATTCATTTCGCGGGATGCAACGACGGCATGCCTCGCTTTTCGCAATCTAATTTTCACCGGCGTTTAATCTTTGTGTACACTCACCGGCTCGCATGCAAGACCGGCAGCGCGCGAGTCTTCTCTCTCTTCCCTCGGAGGAAAGAGCAGCGAGTGGCGGGCACGTGCAAGCTTTTCCAATATTTTTCGAGCCGAGCTATTACTCCCGCCTTGACAACGTGCCCCTACACCTCTCTCTTGCGTGTTTTTCCCTTATCGTTTCAATCAAAATCACATTCATCGGCCTCTCCGTGCGAATTTTTTTTTTTATTTTCTCACCGAAAATGATTTATTCGCGAACAGAAGATAGCGAGGGAATGGGAAAATTTCGGATAAATAAATATCAATGGCTAATGTGAATTAACCCTCCCAAATATTCGATGCATTTTCGGACACACGCTCGATAATTTATTACATCAAAAATAACGTAAAGTTAAATCTCCGCCGCAATTGGCTTGGAATTCATAAAGATTATATCCTCGTTATATTCGCAACGTATATTTCGAGCTAGCAGTCAGATATGATAAATCAATTACTGGAATATAATAGGTTAATAGCGCCTGCGCTAGATACGTTTACGATTGCGGCCAACGAATGCGTATGCGCATTAACCAGCTTGATTTCGATCTATCCGGATTAAATTATAGTTTGGCATTAATGATTTTAATTGTTTGTATACTTAAAAACTCTATAATCATTGATAATCGTGTAAGAGCAATCTTTTTCCTGCTTGTGCATAAGTGAGTAAAAGTGCAATTTATATATCATTGACATATCCCGAGAGTGGAGGAAAGGCATCAAGCAAAAATTTTGGTCTTTTATTGCACGACCTAACTTTAGCATCTGCGATCGAAAAAAAAAAATACGAAGCGAAATAAGTGCAGTTGCTAAATTACGCAGACAAATTAAATGAAACAAATTGCACATTGGCACTTTTATATCTCCCGCGAGCTTTATCTGTATTGCATTTTGAATTGCTGACCAGTTCAGATCGAATCGATAGTGCAGTTGCCAGTGGGGACGGATCCTCCTTCGCGAACGACCTCTTTCCTATTTTTGCTCTATCCCTCTGTTTCCCCGTTCATCCACTTTTAATGGAATCGGGCAAACGGTCACTTTTAGCGGTGGAAGATCGAAAACTGCTGCTGCAGTCGGGAGATAGACTCGGTATTTGCTACGTCGGAATTTAACTGGCACTCGCTTCCACCGGTATACAGCGGAACTTACGGAAGATTCTGATCGCTCGGGAAACGACAGTCTCCGCAAATGGTGTCGCAAAAACCTTTCCCGATTACCCATGTATAATTCGCGTTTCAATAATGTCGTCGAAATCGACGCCGCTGCAAATTACCTTTTCAAGTAAACGCCGTAATATCCTCGTGAAGCTAGAAATGGATAAATCAAATTTAATGTAGCTTTCCGACTTGTTACATCCTTTTTATTTATATTTATTGAAATTTTGCTATAATAGTAATTGCGTTATTCAAATTCACACACACACACACACGCACACATACACTTTTGGATAAAGGCACCGCATACCATTTTCCGTGACTGGTCTGCGAAAGTTACACCGCGAGAGAATTCAACGAGATAAAATCGCAGCAAATTGTATAAAAAGCATCGCCGCACGCGCACACGTGACCGCCCGTGTACGTGCATACACGAAAGGGGCAAGCCTTGTTGTACACGCGTGTACGTGTTCTATGTGTACACAGCGACCGTGGTCGACTAATGGACCTGTTACGAGCAATTCCGGTAGAACGACAATTGCGCGCCGTAGGTACGTACAATACGTTCGGATAAGAGTAATTCCGAATGCGCAATTCGATCAAAAATTACCCGTACTTCGTCGGCGGAATAATATTTAGCTTAAATTACGTCCGACCGGAGCGCGTGCGCGTGCGCGCGCGCGCGTGTGCGCATACGTGCGTGAAGTGTTCAACGACCTGCGCTTGCAGATTAGAGTGGTCGTACCTGTCAACTGTAGAGAATCGTCGAGTCTCTTGTACATATGCATTTTTGCAAGTTTAATTTTTCATTGCGAAAACGACGAGCTCGCGCTCATTACTCGCCCCGCATTTTTGTTTCTGCTTCTTCCGCAAAAAGAGGACCGCTTTTATCTATATACAGTTAGTTTTTTAACTGTACAGTTAGTTTTGCTGCCCTTTTCTTTCTCGTTATTTTTTCTACCCGCGAGAGATGAAGTCGCTGTTGATAAAGTTTAACATAATTTATACGATTTGTCTCTATAATTATTTCTTTTATTTCCATTAATCTCCATTCATGATTTTTCATAATTTGTACGAGAATTAAGTTTTTATAAAGGTTTTAATTTTATATAAATGAAATCTCTATTTATCATGCATGTGACATATTATTGTTTTCTCTGAAATTAAAAGGCTCGCGCGGATTGAAGAATATTTTTAAAAGTATTTCTCGCGTACACTGCGGGATGTCGCATCGGCGTTTACCGCGATAAACCGCTATTATTTTTCGATACATTCTTCTTTTAATGCCCGATAAAGTGTGTCACTTGACGATACGACGGACGGTCGCCGTTTTAAAAATGCTGCAATAAAATCTCACGCGAGGAGCCACGGGATCGCGAGAGCTCTCTCTCCTGGAACGATTGCACTTCGGATTAAAAAGTTTTTTTTACTGCGTGCGATGTACTCCGACGTCGTAAAAGTATGTCTAATGACCCAGAAAAAGGAGACGCCGATGCCGCGCCGCGGCAAGTAGTATAAGTCGAGTTTATCGCGTACCCGGGGCACCCCGTAAACCGTCGGACAGACATTTTTCGGTCGTGAAACGATCGTATAAACGTCGACATTAGCTCGGTTGCGCCAAGATAAACATTCTTTTAGCACCGTCGGCTGGAAAATCACATTTTATTATTATCCATTAGTTCGTCTCGTTGCGGGACAGGTGTTTTCGGACCGAGCCGAGTAGATCGGGATCGCGAACGTTGGCACGCCGACGTTTCGACTATAAAAAGATACGGTAAAAAGCCCGCATGCATCTCGACGTGTCGACGTCGCGCTCGTCGGCGGTTTTGCACCCTCCCGCAGAGGCGCCGCTTCGCTTTTCACTCGAGCTCTCGACTCGCGGAAATAATACTCGTAAACGACATGTCGATTTCCTCGCTTGTAGGATCAGCACGATCGCGAAGTTCCGAGACCAATTTAGTACGAGCGTTAGTAGTCCCGTTCTAGATAGCGCATCTCTGGGCGCGTCGTCCCTTCTCTCAACGACGAGTCTCTTTTACGTTTCTCTCTCTCTCTCTCTCTCTCTCTCTTTCTCTTCCCTGCTCCTCTCTCTGTCTTCCCATTCTCTCACCCTCCTTCTCCGGAGGCCGTTCGCAGCGAAGCGCGGCGCTGGGCTGACAAAGGAGCGCGTCACGTTCATCCATCTTGCACCGGCCGTCTCTTTATTCCCGAGGTTAAAAGCGTAGCAGCGGAGGCAGTTTGGACTTCCTGCCGCACTAAATCCACTAATTTCGGTCACCGACTTCTGGCCCGGTGCATTCGTGTAGCCGCGCCGCGGCGCGCCGCGCGATCGATGACGGGAGAGAGATACGCCGTTCTCCCGACGAGTATAAATTTCGCGAGCGCAATCAGATCGGACTTTTACGACGTTAATTCGTAGAAGGCTGCAAACGCCAGCTCGGAACCCGATACAATTATCGGGAACATTATTCTTGGGATCTCGATTCTCTTTCGGGCGGCGCGCGGATTCGTCTCTAAAACAAGAAGGGATGTCCCGCTTCTCGAGCCATTTTTGCATATCGAGAACTTTCTCACTCCCGCAAATTTAACGCTCGATGAGAAGGGGAAGGTGGGAGGACTGTCCGTCTCATATCTCCTTATACATTTTAACTAAAATCTATGAAAGCCATTTTAAATGATGGAAAGTAGACTAATGACCTGAATTGTGAGAAGGAGACTAATTACCCAAGCAGAGCTGATGTAGAAAGAAAATATCTGCGTAACCGAGGACTGCAATTTTCCTTTGCAAATTAACGTTTTCCAACGCTGGCCTGGGCGGGCGAGCGAGCGCAACCGTGAACTTTTTACTTAAATTTTAACACGAGAAACGAGAAACGTTAAAACGCGCAATTTTCATGAACGAAGGGGTTCACAGTTTTATATAACTTCCTGCTACTTTGCGATTCTTTATGAAACGACCACATGATTTCCAGTGCAAATAACTGAAATAATCTTTATTTAGGTACAATTCCGCAATTTTATTCTACCTTTAGTGGCTGTTAGTTTGAACTATTATTAGGTAATATTTTTGTTGCGTGCAAATTTAATATCCTCTCTTTACTGCTGTTTGAAATAAAATTGATGATTTAATATGAAACTGCAAGACAGACTGCAAGTGTTTAACATTTTTTATCGTCAAACAAGCTTTATGTACCGAAAGCAATATCATTATGAGAAACTGTAAGGTAGCATTTACAAAAAGAATATTTATAACATGTTTTATAAAAATAAGTACCAGATAAATAGATATCAATTAAAAAGACACTCGCAGGCTTTGTGCATTCTCCAATTTATCTTTCTATTCTTTAATCGCGGATGAGGAAAAGAAAACTTATTTTTACCACGAAATGCGCGTTAAAGCGGACGAAGCCTCGAAATGCGCCTGAAATGGCCGGCTGGCCGCATGACCATCGCACAGCAAATCCTATTGTGGGCCGAGTCTAATCAGAGAACCCCGCGTGATCTTTTTGTTCGCAGGTCCGCCGACGATCCTGGTGAAGCCGCAATCGCAGCAGGTGAAGGCAGGCGGGATAGCGAGCTTCTACTGCACTGCGGAAGGAGCGCCGCCGCCCCAGATACACTGGCGAAAGAACGGCAAGAGAATCTCACGTAAGTCCGCGCACTTTCGCAAATTCTCCTACCCTATCTCGCATCCCTCGGCCATTCGCGTCCTCGAATCGTCGCCGTAGCGTCGGTTTGCCGCGCGTGCGGCATTGAGAATGCTCGAGGATGCGCTCTTTGGCGCTCGACTTGCGCGAAATCTGTGTCTTCCGGTTTCATGAAAACTCGCGCCGCGGTGAAAAAGAATGAAAATTTTATCGAAATTAAAAAGTTCTCTTGACCTGGATTTTTCGCTCGTCGTTTTCACGTCTTTCCTCGTCCGCACTCTCATGCATTTTACCGCGTTTCTTGCATCTCGCTTTCCTTCGGTCGCGGTTCTATCTTAGTCCCCGTCCGATCGATTTTTGCTCCCGCCCGCGACGGAAACCGAATGGCATTTGTTGGACATTTCGTGAAATGCAGATGTGTCATATTTGATCTTTTTGTCAGGCTCCGCTCGTCCAAACAATTCGCGACAGCTCGACGTTACATAGTACTTCCATAAACCGAATTACAATGACCGGGATAGTAATTCCTCGAAAATAGTTGCATACATTGACTCACAGCTACGTCCATTGCATCCGTAATATAATAGCTTTCACAGAATTTGAAATCTGTTCGTGTAATATTCATGAATTTGCGGTTAATTCATTTGACCTCTAGTAAACCAGGAATGTATTTCCATAAATTGAGTGTTATATATTAAAAGAAGCATTTCGATCTAGTATTTTTCTGTGCCAATCGAAACGCTGTTTTTAACTTCTTTCGTAGAGAATTGCTAATCGCGTAGCTATTAGAGCATTACGGAATAAACCACTTATCGCGAAATTCCGAAATACCAATTTGAAGATCGAATCTCGGGGCTTCGTATGTTACAACACTCTCGCGTACGTACGGAAGGACGAGCAAATCCCGCGAGATCATCCCGATGACGCGCGATGGTTTCGCATAACGTTCAGTCTGATCCGCGGAATGTATGTGCCCGAGCGATCACGGGTCAGTCCATATTCGTCGTCGACGACTCACTAATCCGACGAGGAACACCCGACGAGATAATGGCCAGCGACCGCTTGTAACATTCTGGACGCCAATTCGCGGTGAGCGGACGGACGGACGGACGGACGGACGAAGGGGACGAGGGTAGACGATAACAGGAGGGCGGTGTGTGCGCCCGTTCTCGAAATTTATACAGACGCGCGATCCAATTCCCATTCAATATTTCTCGGGCCGGCGGAATTGGATACGAGAGGACACACGTATATATACCCCCTCCCCCTTTTTATTAGATTCCGCAACGGCGCAATTTTCGATCTTATATCGCCCGTTGCCGCCACCACCGCCGATCATTTTCGCGCGCGCCCGGTATTTTCCTCGCCTTTTGTGACGGAGGGGTTTTTCCTTTTTACGGCGCAGACGTCCGCCTCAATCTTCCGTCTTATGTCGACAGAATCCCAGTCCCGGTACGTGGTGCACCAGTATGAAAATGGTGCTTTACTGCGGATCGAACCTGTCAAGCCGTCGCGCGACAATACCAACTACGAGTGCCTAGCCGAGAACGGAGTCGGCGACGCTGTTTCAGCCGAGGCGTCGCTCACCGGTTACGAAAGTAAGTGAGATTGCCGTTATTATTATCATTTATTTGCACCGATAGACAAGCGAATCCCTTCCATTCCTCGGCAAGGAAAGTCCCTAGTTCTCAAAGGAAGATTATACAATCGACGATTTTTGTCTTAATTGAGTACTTGAAGATGGAAACAAAAGAAAAGGAATCATTAATCTACACGTTTTTAAAACTGATTTATTTACTTATTTATCCTGCGTGTTTTCCGATTAAATAGCCGAGGTATTAGAGGTTTTTAGAGATTCAAGCATGCCTTTTCTGCAACAATTTTACTTCGGAGCTCAGTTGCAGAATTAAATTCTATACTACCGTCTTTTGTTTCTATTTCAAAAATTCATACAAATTTACACTCCGTGTTCCTTTGAGACAAAAAATCTGTTCCGTACGTCCATCCGAAAATTACAAGGTGCTGCAATACGCGAGGAATCGCGAAGAAATTTGCGAACTATCGACAGACACATGTTTATAGCACATGTTTTTATTAATTACGAAATAAGCACACGGAGATAATTGGTTCCGTTTATAAACACGAAGCGTCATTTACGCGGCGAGGACATTTCGCGAACAAAACGTGTAGCCTACGTATCTCCGTGACGTATATATACGTAAGCCAGCAAAAAGGAGATATATCACTTAACCTCGTGGCGTAAAATTTTGCTTTTACGACGGCGGCGCCGCATGAAAGAAAGAGAAGGGGCCCTTATTCTGAAACTGCATGTCCCGGCATAATTTTCGTCGGCAGGCTCGCGCTCAAAAGGACTGCGTTACACGATACGGCGGAAAGTTCTAGTTTTATACCCCCCGCGGTAGTGGTGGCGTTACACACACTACCGTGAGCACCGCCGGTTTGTGTTTTATAACAAAGTCACTTGCCTTGGGGACAGTTTTCCCGGACGATATCGCGTAATAACTATTAGCGCTATCGGGGACGTCGCTACGTTGTTTAATATTTAAAGGAAGCTTCCGAGACAGCTGCTACCGTTTGGTAATGTTCGAAGCTTTAAGCTTTCCTATCCTCGTACCGTGGCGTTTGACTGCGTCGCGCGCGCGGATAACGGCTTCGGAACTGTTTACTGATTTAAACCTCACTTAAACGCACTCTCCGCGTCGACGTGGACTGTATATTACGTATCATTCATTCATTTTGAAATCATTCTCGCAGCAATGCCTCTCGTACGACGCTCGGTTACGTCACTTCTAAATTGCTGCCTCTTTGGCAATTAAAATTAAAACTTTTTTTTTTTTTGTTAACCACATGTTTAAAATGCTGACGTTACAACGTTCCTGGAACTTTGCCTCCTGCAGTGCGGCTGATTACGTCGACATAGCGAGCATAGCACGGAGGTAAATCTTTCTGAAATTAAACAGAAACTTCGCCCACATCTTGCCGGACTTCTTTCTTCCTCTATTTTCTCAACTATGCGGTATTTATACGGAAGAACGGTTGGCTTAATGGCGCCCGATTCGACGACCAGACGGCAAACGACGTAATAGGGGGGAAAAGAAAAAAACCGCCGCGCCGCGAAACCCTACCGTTTGCTCGAGGGAGAATCTCTTGAACTTTCGCAAAACGTTTTAATTGGCTTGGCCGGCTTTTTAATTCGATTCTAATTTCTCTTCGCGGATACGTCCGCTCGTGATTTCCGCGCCGCGCGATGTGGCGGGAGAAAACAACGCCCGTTTCCTGTCCTTCCCGTATACGCTTTCGGGGCTTTCTTCATTCTGTCTTGTTTTCGCTCATCGATACTGCCGTGCCGACCGATTCAATACGCGGCGGCGAGCTGTTTTTTTTTATCTCGATTGTCGGGCATTTCCTGTCAATGCTGCTCCCATCCGGCGACCGGTCCGGCAGTTCCTCTCGTAAATCACGGATATTCACTTGATTCCCTGAAACCTCCGCCGCGATTTCAATTTATTTGTTATAAAGTTGATTCCGCCCAGATGAGCCCGTTCCCACGGGCGCAATAATAATGCGCGCGTGCGTGGGCTACCGTGAAATCAGTATACGTCAAATTGCACGTCAGTTTTTGCCGTACCGTTTATTCGCATTCCTATTTTATTTGCGAATTATTAATGCGCGTTAGTCGAGAGAGAAAGAGACAGAGAAAGAGAGAGAGAGAGAGAGAGAGAGAGAGAGAGAGAGACCATAGACTTTCAGATAAATGAAAATAATTCGTCGACATCACAAAGCAAAATATTGTACATTCCGAGTCAACGTCCCGACGCTTCTGCTCGCGCGCCAAGTAATTCAGCGAGCTTTTACTCCGGCTGGCCAGTCGAGATATTTTTTAAGGCCGCACGGAAAAAAAGCTTTGATGAAAGACAAAGTTAATTTCGTCTATGTATTCCGGAATTAAAGGCCAAATTGAGGCTCCGCGCGGGGAAACGGGGGGAGGGGGCAAAACCGTCAAGAGAGAGCGCGTTTGCTAATTGCGCGCTAAATCGCGACACATACCGCGAAAGCTCGAGCACCTTTTTTCCCCCTCGTTGAGAGCTCACCCGATTAATCGCTGACTGCCGGCAAACGCACGTGTGTACGTTTTTATGTTTGTATATTTTTTAAAACGTATTCTCGTTTACGTCGCGAAATGGTTGCCGACGGAAGCGCTCGCGTTTTTTTGCGGAAAAATCACCTTTGCATCTCTCTCGTGAGCGAAACTCTCAAGAGCAATTATCCGATATTTTTGTTTTCCGCTAAATCTCCTAATTATAAAATTGGTTCGAAGCTGCGAATAATATTTCCTTGATAAGTGATATTTCGCGAGCCATGTGCTTCGCTATTTACTGCCGTACGTAAGCTCGTGTCGGCCATATCGGCCTCCCCTCTCCCCGGCCGTACGTATACCACGCAAACTTCGTTATCCAATCCATTGATACGATAAATACCTGCAAGCTCGCGGTAAAGCCTCATTCGGATAATGCGATTAATTGTTAGCCGAGGCATGTAATGATATAATGACGTAGCGATCGCGCGCATGGTTATATGATACGCGCATGCAGAAAACAAAAACGCATAAACAATTGGTCGGATAATTGAAATATTGACCGAGCATCTGCAGTTTATTTGTTTTACTTATCGCATTTCCAAAATAAATTCTTTTATAACGATTAGAAGATAACGTTACGCTCGGAAACGATAATTATGCGCTATAATATTACGCACGTTTTACTTTTATTATACCATTATTTACCTTTATTATCTTTGCTAAAGTAGAATTTACCTTTATTATCTTTGCTAAAGTAGAATTCAAAATCGAGATATCTGTCGTAGAAATATTTTTTTCGTTAAGTTCTGCGACGTCCCGTGTAATAATAATAATAATAATAATAATAATAATAATAATATTTTCGATAATTGCATCGCAGCATCTTCGGTACCTGTGTCGCACAACTCGAACACTTGTAAAACCACAATAGAGGCAATAAATGCGTGGCGATGCGCGAGGAACATCGGATATAATGTAAGGATCAGCGAGCATTACAGGAAACACCGCCACCGTGGTTGTAGAATTTTCATGAGAATTTTGTTTCTCTCTTTTCTTTTCCATCGGGTATAGTACCGCTATTCTTTCTTACGGCAAAAATCTGAAAACCATTTTCGAGATACAGTCCGGGAAACAGCGTTACTGGTTTTTGTTGTTATTATTGCAATTTTATTCCACAAATTTCTGCTCCATCTGATTCGTGATGTCGCACCACCAGAAATTATTTGTAATAATTTCCGATTTTATTACTATTATAAATACATCTTCGGCGATAAAATTATCTCTAGTAAATCCATAATAATATTAAGTCTTGTTAAAAAAGAAATCGAAACTCAAGAAATTTAGTTGTAATGAAAGCATGATGCAAATAAAAAATTATAAATTGTTACGCTTTTAATTTTACGTAAAAGAAACTTGTGGTCTTCTCAAAATAGAAGACTTGTACAATATTTTGCTTTGATAATAACAAGATGTAACGATTTCTGTTTTGTCGAAGTCGTTTTGTTGATACAGATCGCTACTGATATTCTAAAAAACACTTGATACGAAGGGAAGCGTCTGAATTCATTGTTTGAGCAAGAACAACAGGCGGCATCCGAATTCAATTCAACGGTAATTGCACACCAACAAGTATAACAGGATAAAAATTTGTCGATTTACGCGAGAACGTGATAGCGACACGACAGTTCCTCCTCGCTCCAGGATTCCCCGAAGCGCGGCTGCAGTTCTTGCGCGCCGCCCAACAAAAACATGCCGTTGAATTATTGGTTGCGTTTCTCTCGACAGGATAATGTCGTTTTCCAGTGATGTGTTCTTGGATCGATGTTTCCCTCATGCGAGAACAAAACAACGCACGTCCGGGAGCTCCCTTCCTCCCGCCCGTCCCCGCCACCCCCGAAAGTTCTAACAGCAAATAAAAGGTATTATCCCGATGATTCTCGCTCGCCGCGATTTCGCCATGGGAAAAGTCATGCAATATTAAAGGGGCGGGCTTGTGTGTCGTGTCACGTTTTCGTTCCCGGGGCGATTCATCGTGCTTCGCCGCTAAATGCACAAAGTATATTAACCCTCTTGATGACGGAGGGTGGCCCAATTTCACGTCCCCCCCCCCCCGTAGGGATCCGGAATTAAATTTGCACGAGGACTAAGTGGCGTCTTTGGTTCTCGTCGCCGCGTTCGGGGGCGAACTATCCACTTCGTCCCGCCACGCTCCGCACCGAAACGTCGAAAGTTCGCGCGGGAATTGCTGTTGTCCCGTGTCCCGCCCGTCGAAACTCGGTCGCGAAATAATTCTTCCAGGACTCCGCTGTTCGCGTCGGCCACGCCGAACCGACGGAATACGAGAAGCGGGAGGGAGGGCAGAACGATGCCGTTTTAATTGCCGCCGTACAATCGGCACCCGATGTAAGAACGCGATGGACGGTCGACGGTATTCAAAATGGAAATTGCGTTAAATCCTTGCACAGGCGCGAATAACGAATGAACAATGGCTCTATGGGG